ACGCATCAGTTTCCTGCTCTTACTTTTGACTTTGTGTTGGTGGCTTTCATGAAGCCGGTTATGTCTCTACATTGATTGTTCAGTTTTAATTCTTGGAGAAGAATTATAGGAACTTATCTCATTTCCTCAATGTCTCAATTAATTTTTCTTGGAATTTGGGTTTTAGAAACACATATAAATTCTTTGACAAATGCCAACAGGGAATTCACACATGCAAGTGCTGCTTATGATAGGACATGGCTTGGCTGCCTGTTGACTCCAGCCACATGGGTCAGGCTGAGAGATACTGGGAGCTGGAGGGAAAACAGCATGCTTGCCAGGTGGGGCTAGCTCCTGGGGTACAGGCCCAGCTTCTGGTACTAGAAGAAGGTCTAGCGTGACAGATGGTGAAGGCTATAAACATACATCTGGCAGACCTGTGACCACAGGGGGTGTTACTGACCAAGGGCCCCAGTTGCTGCACTCTGGAATCAATGGTGGGGTTTATACCAAAGCCCCCCTCCCACAGGAGCTCCCTCCCAGTGGCTAAATGATGAGAGGATCCTAAGGCAGACGTGATCCTGAGAGACACAGTACCCGTTTGGTAGATGACTTTGGTTAAGATGCCCTGACAGCTTTCACAAACTTTCCTAAGACTAAAGGGGGAGACTAGGAGCTTCCACCTTCTTCCCTTCTCTTCTTCACTGGGAGTCACGGAGCGTCACAATCTGAATGCTCTCCCCGCCTTCTTCACTTCTCATCCTAGTTCCTTTCCCACAGGCATGCCCCCTAATGAAATCCTTGCCCGCTTTACCCCATCTTAGCGTTTACTTCTCAGAGGACGTGAACTGTAGGTTCAGCACCCAACCATCATGGCTACAGAAAAACAGGCGTTAGGAGATCCAGTGGGGTGTCTGACAAATGGGGCATGTACATTGGCAGTGGGAATTTTCAGCAATCTCTGCAGCAAGCAAGCAGGAGATTTCAGGAATGTTCTTCCCTGAGTTCATGGGGAGCAAGAGAGTACAGCCCTCCACCAGGTACTGAAAGGAATGAAGGGAGCACATCTCTAAGGAGGCTGAGCTCATTTCAGTTACTGAGATACAGATCACACCCAAGAGGTGAGTGGGAGACCACAGGTGAGGTGATCATACTGGGGAAAAAAGAAGAAATACAGTTATAAGAACTCAGGGCAATATCAGAGCCAAAATGGCAGCCAAGCAAGTAGGAAAGGATGTTCTAGATATTGAACCAGAATTCCTTAAATCCTCCCAACAAAGATAAAGGTTAGTTCTAGAAACTAGCACAGGATCGAACCTTCAGTTATGAAGAACAATATTTGTAGGAAGCTTGAGGGCTCAGCCATAGAAGGGAATGGAGCTACTGAGGTTCCTGCAGAGCAAGGTAAATATAATATGGCTTGAAGAATTGGGCCACCCACTGAGGCGACTCTGGCACAGTCATTTTACTGACTGTTCCTGGGAGCTAGGCTGGTTTATGAGAGAATAGACCTAGGGACCAGAGCAACAGTGGAGTGAAAGTGTTCAGTGGTTTGAACTGCTTTTCGCAATTGGAAGTATGTTTGAAAATTATCCAAGTCACAGTCTGGACTTAACATATTTTGGCTGATTGATATGGATAATATTTACAGAACTATTCGTTCTTTTATTCAGAAATATTCACTGGACAACTCTGTGCAAAGCTAATATGGAAAGATGCTCAGTTGTGAAGATATTTATATCTATGTTGTAACATATCAATTACTTGCACCTGAAAAGTGTATTTGCTTTGTGGAAAGTCTCAAGAAACCATGAAAAATTAAGTGTTGAAATAGCCCAATGTAATCCAAGATCATCAGAATTTAAAGTAATGAGAATGTACAGTAAATGAGCGGCTTTTAAATGGGTAACTTTATTCATTTTTATTGAGTATCCCTATAGGGGAAATCAAAGATTCTAGCATATTTCTCCCAAGAAATATGGGGTACTGGCAGCATTAAATCTGAATTTGTTCTCCAAAGAGTCCTGGAGGCCAATGTTTCTCTAACTCATACCACTGTTGTCATGGATGACCAAATTTGGCATAGCTCTTCTGGAAACAGATCTTGTGAGAAATTACAATCCAAAAACCAGGAGAAAATTGGAAGTAAAATCTCCTAATTTAAATGCAAGCTGAAATCCCACTCTTTTAGGCCACATATCTTCACTGTTGCTGTCCACATTGTCACGAATAAGAAAAAAGATGGTGCAATTGTGTTAGGTCAATGCACAGATTTGCAATCTAACATATTTAAATTTTTTAAAGCTGAATGAAATAAATTGAGAACATTCTCCCACTGTCATTGCAAACTTATCAATGGAGATACAAAAATATTTTATGAGTTTTCAGGAAAGCTGCTCTCCTAGCGTCAAGGCAAAGGCTACTCCTGTTAATTGGTTTGAGGCCGTCTGTCTCTATAGTCTTCTCGATACCAGGTTAAAAAAACCTGCATGCCATTGTTTTTGCTCTGGCTTTAACATAAAGCTGCCCTTGGAACTGTGGATATATGTGGGTTGTGATGATTGCCTTCAGTGTCTCAATGATATTACCAAATGTTATGCCCAAACTGATGGCCTAATATTGTATTCTGAAAGGCAAGCTTGATTTACTGTCGTGTCTGAAACTTTTATTGGAACAGGATACTGTGTTTTCTTTCCAGTGACTGCACAAGAACTATACGCTCTCTCAGAATTAGCCCAAGACACCTATAAAGCTACTTTCAAGTGTTTATAAGATTGGAATCAAAACATGAGATCATAATTCTTTTGCTGCAAATATCATTATTTGTTTAAATGTCCTCTTCTGTCAAGTTACAATATCAGGAAACTGCTCTTATGCGTTCACTGATAGCACAACTGAAATCAGAAAAACCATGCTCAAAGTCTGCCTGAGCTAGATGTTTGTGTTGGTTTAACTTAATTGAAAGGCAGGGAAAAATAAAAATAAAATTCTCAAGTCTTTATCTTATACTGATTTACCTTAAGTTAGACAATGGTTTAATTATTTTCTCTCAATATTTATTGGACACCAACCAGAGGCAAAGATAGAGTAACAGGACATCAGGAGCTAAGACACTCTGTTCTCAGTGGGCTCCCATAATCGAATGGGAGTAAAGTACCCCAATTACTTTAGAACAAAGCATAAGATTCAAGGCAAGTGCCACTAAGAAGGGGCAAAGCACAGCTGTCCAGGTGACTGTACAGAAATGACATCTGCCCCAAGCAGAACGTATGAATGGCTCAGCTCTGCCATGGGCACTGATAGGACAAGTGCGCTTGGATCCAACAAAACCAGCATCCTAACCATATCTACTCTCTTGGCATATCTAATTCCTATTCATCTCTAAATCCCAAAATAGCCACAAATTCCTTTAGGAATCTCCCCTGACCTCATAGCACTCTGTATTTCTTGTATTACAGTACTTAGCATGCTTTAATCATGAGTGTTCACTTAATTATTTGAGTCTCCTAATAAAGTATTAGCTCCATGAGGACAGAGACTTAATCAGCCTTGCTTACCATGGTCTGGTACAGAGCCTACATATGATAAGTACCCAATAAATAGTTAATTGCATAAACATATAACCTATGATAATTATATAGAAAGCTTCCTGTTAAGGCTGTCATGAGCAATTGAGCAGGTTGTGCACTGTACAACTTCTGGGGACACTATTCACTTCAAAAACTTTTTTCCAGGTTCTTCCAGGAGTTGAGCAGTGTACAACCAGTATAGTCTCAAATGATGGTTTTTCCTACCATCTGCTATGTACTGCACCCAAATTTTTCTTTGTTGAGTTAGTTGACACATAGACTTTTAGTGTCTAATAAAAGCCAGAAATTGCATTTAGTCTGCATGTCCAATGAAATTCAATAAAAATTCCTTGGAACAACTGCTTATGACTTACAAATTTTACGTTTGCATGGCCCTTCACAAGGATTAAGGTCTTGTTATCTGGTATAGCAGGAAATTGTTCGTCATTAAAGAATGCATTCTGGTGGTGGTGAAGGGATATATTCAAACAAAGGAAATTAAGACAGCCTTGAGTGAATCAGCATTCTTGTTCTTTACCTGCTTAATCCTGTTAAAAACAAGCAATCCTCTTCATCTCAAATCTTTAAAAAATAAAGAAAAGATCAGAAGGAAGAAGAAATGAAGAGAAAAAGGGAGGGAGGGAGGCAGGGAGG